TGCAGAACTTAATAGACATCCATAACATGTACCTTGCTGATTTTGCTGACCAGTTTTTGGACTCCTTGCTTATTTTTGTGCATTTTTTGTGTTTTGTCCTAAGTGTCGTGACCTAAAGTCTCTGTTATTAGTGCGTTTCTGTTTTTATCTCCTGTATCTCCTGCAGTTTTTGCTTTGTAGCGGTGAGGGGGGCTGTGTGTGCACCATTATTTGGTACCTAACTATTCGAAGCTTTTCTTTTTATTAGATGAATGAATTAAGCCCATTCACCTTTATTGATAATGACCAATATGCTTGGCCTTTTCTCTTTCATGGTATTTTTATAATTATGTGTATTTTTTATGTTTGCTGTGATTATCCTCCTCTAAAGTGTATATTCTTTGCTCTTTAAAATTTTTTGTTTGTGTTTAGGAAGGTTTATAATTATATTTGGGTGGTCATTTTTGCATGTAAACCTTATGAAATGTTTTCTGTCCCTTGGTTTTTACTTCACTGTTCAGCTTCTTGGTTCCTGTTGATCCTGAGCTCCAGTCGCTGCCCCACAGCCACCAGTGAGCCTGTCCACACTGTGTTGTCCATTCCCTGGCTCTCCACTTCCTTGTTACAGTACACGACCTTCCACCTTACCCCCCACCTCCGCATTAGTGTAAGGTACACATTTCTGTGTCAGTGCTTACCCCCATCTCATTGTCGTGGTTCCCCCACCACCTCTTGCTTGGATGGCGCCTGCCCTGCGGCAGAGCCCTGGGCAGGCCTTGGTACAGGGTCCCCTGATGTTTGTATGTGGAAAACGGTCCTTTTGTGGCTTTGATAGGGAGGACAGTTTGGCTGGATATAAAACCCTTGGTTTACACTTCCTTTCAGTAATTTTGTAAATGCTCATCCATGGTCACCTCACTTTGTAAGTTGGTTTTGAAAAGCCTGATGCCAGGTCGATTCTCTTACCTTTGTGATTTATTTTCTCTTTTTACCTGGAGGCCTCATCTGTTTCTTTGAAAAGTAATAGTTTGTGAGGATACATCAGAGTTGATAGAATGCAGATTTTGGTCTCTGTTTTCCCAGAATGTTCTCTTGGATCCTGGTTTCAGTGTCTCTTGTGCTCCGTTGTCTGTTTTCCCTCTTCAGAGGCTCTGATAACACAGTACTGGCTTTGCTGGCCTGCCGCGCCCGCCTTCCCTGGGCCTGTCATTGTGTGTGCCCCTCGCTGGCCCGCCTTTCTTCACTTTTTCCCTCCTTGGCACCTTGCAGTTAACTTCACTTATTTCTGACATATTGTTTCCTTTTTATTTTTTTCTTGCATTTAGTCAACTCTTTTTCTTTCGGTTTTTAAGATATTATTTATTTATTTTAGAGAGAGAGCATGCGTGTGCGAGTGGGGGAGGAGGGGCAGAGGGAGAGGGAGAGAGAGCATCCTAAGCAGACTCCACACTGAGCGTGGAGTGGCCCTGAGATCACAACCTGAGCCGAAACCAAGAGTCGGATGCTCAGCTGACTGCACTACCCAGGGACCCCTCTGTTTTTTATCTACTTCTTTGTTACTATTTCCGGTTTTGATTCAGAGCAGTTTTCATGTCCTCAAATGCTCAAGTACGTTTTTTGTTGTTGAAAGGTCTGTCTTACAGTGTTCTTGTTTTTCCAGACAGAATTGGTCTCTGATGTGTGTGGAATTCTGTTTTCTTTTTGCGGTGGTTCTTTATGGATTTGCTCATCTTCCTCCTGTTCATTTTTGTGGTAGTTGGGGGTCTTGCAAGACTCGCGGTCTGATGGCGCCCTCTTCTGCCCGTGCTGGAATGTTGGGTACTGTAGCCGGTTTTTGGTTTGCGTTGGTTGTAAGAGGGTCATGTGTCCTTTGATGGTGAGGTTTCTGTCTTGTGGGACCCTAAGTGTCCCTTTACTTCCTTCCCTTTCAGCACCTGGTTTTCAGATGGTCCTTGTCAGAGGCTCTGTGTTGCGAGGACTCTGCCCACGCCTGTCCCGGTGTCTGTGCTCTGGGTGCTCAGACTGGGGTGGACCAGCAGCCATTCTGGGCTGGCTTTTGCTGGACCATGGCCCCTCGCGGTCTCCCTCATCTGTCTTTGCTTTGTGGGTGCCGTGGGCCCTGCTGAGGATGGGCCAGTTCTGCTCATTTGCGGTCCTTTTGGAGCAGGGTGCTCCCCGTCTTCACATTATGCTGATGGAGTGATATCTGTATAGACTGGTGTTTCCCTTCTTGTTCTGAGTTTTTTGGGGAGAGAGGGGGAGCTGCTGGGGTGACTCGATGGCAGCGCGCTGTCTCCCCCTCCTGTGAGTGGTGTGCATCCTCCTAGGGTGAGTGCCTGAGTGTCTTTACCGCGGCTGCGTCTGCGCAGGTGTGTCTGTGTTCTGGACCGTGAGGGTGCAGAGATGGGTGTAACCGAGTTTGGGAACCGAGCCGTCGCAAGGGCAAGCAGGGGAGCCGTTCGTCCAGCTGAAGCCGGGGGCGTGGGAGCAGCCTTGAGAGCCACCTCACCTGGGAGCCACCTTGATGGGAATCGGGCTCTCCGGCCCCCGAGGTGGAAATTTTGCTGAGGCAGTTCAGAGGGGCCCCGGGCTGGGGGCCCCTATTCTCGGAGTCGTGGGAAGCTCAGAGCTGTGCCAGGGGCATGTGGCGCCGCCCTGCACAGCTCTGGGCTCCCAAGTGAGGCTGACCCCAGAAGCCAGGTGGGTTGTTGGACGGAAGGTGTTTTTTTCTTTCCATTTGGTTTTGCATCAAGTGTTTGTTGGCTGTCAGATTGATTGTGGCATTTTGACCACGGAAAGGTTGCCTTCAAAAGAAGTAGCTTCCTTTTGTCAGTCTTTCTAGTGGTCCTGTGACAGGGAGGCTCCACTTGCCAACGAGGAAACATGTTGCTGGAGCCTAGGCGCTATGGCCAAGGTCTTTTTGTTCCTAGCCCCAGGGCCTGCAAAAACAAAGCAAACTAAACAGCCCTTGATGGGGTGTGAATGTTGGTGAAGTTGGTCTGACATTGGCCCTTGCCTGGCAGAGTTTTCTGTTACTCTCCGTTGGCAGGGGCGGTGGGCGGAGCGCTCCTGCGTCCTCGGCTCAGGGCCCCTCCCTCAGGCTCTGCCTGCCCTGCCCGGCCGGCCCTGCGACCCTGGAGGGAAGACAGTGAAGACATGTCCTTCCATTTTGGTGTGAAGTGGAAGAAACAGTGCTTATCCCATGTCATTAGAAGTACTTTGACTCTCAAGTAGGATATCTTTGGACATAGGCTTTTTGTAAAAGTCCATAGAAACATGAGAAATTACAGTTTCTCACTGACCTTTAGAGCGTGCATGCTGCCTGGGCCTGCCGGAAGCGCTCGGCCGGACGTCTGGGGCCGTGCTGACACATGCGCATCAGAATGCTCTGACACCAGTTTTGATTTCTAAAATATATTGCAATAAAGCGTTATTTATCTTGATTTGCACCTGTTAATTTGCACCTGAAGCGGGTACCTCACCCTTGTTCCACCCGTTTTGGCTGTTGGGCTATTTGGAAAGTAGAAACATCACATGTGGTCCAGAATTGGTCACGAGTGTCACAGAGGTATTTCAGTCCGTTGTGTAAGGTAGTGCCTTTGCTCTCCGCATGGCCACACCTGTCCCCGTGAACCTCGAGGTCAGGAGTGGCGTCTGCAGGGGAGGTGGGGAGGGAAGGCTGCTGTCGGCGGGCAGCTCTCTTTCCAGGAACTGGCCTCTGCTTGGACCTCCTGGGCTCTCCCAGTGGTGTGCGGGGTCCAGAGTAGCAGGCCCGGACGGCCACCATGCTTGCTCTTCCTCCTGTTCCTGCAGACTTTGTTTTCATCACACGCCTTTGCAGGGGCGCTGTTTGTGTCTTGCCCGAAACGCTTTAGGGCTGTTACCTAGACTCACGGAAACGCTGAGAAAACCTGAATCATTCTCTGAAACAAGGAAAAGTAGCCACCACAGGGACTAGCCTGGAGGAGGCATCTTGGTGGGTAAGGGTGTCTGAAGGGGGTGTGAAGTAGTGTAATTGAGGTTGAAGGTGCACGCGCATAAGGACACGAGCAGCCATGTCCCAACCTGGTGGAAGGGGACTCAGGTGGCCATGGACCAGGTGCCCAGAGCGCAGTGCGCTGTGTGCTGTGGTCCTCACCTGCCACCTGCTGGCCGGCTCCCAGAACTGCGGCCTGGTCTGGGCAGGGCTCTTCGGCTGTGGGGGAATTCTTTCTTCCCACCTCCTTAAACTTGAGAACAAGCTGTAAAAATACCCTTGTCATGTTTGCACCTGAAACATACCTGAGTGACTTTAACCATCAGAATACAGACTTAGTTTCCATTCCGAATGGAAAAACGAGCGCCGTCTAATTGGGAGTTGTGTGGTTTGAGGCCCCGGAGCATCGGATGGAGACGCAGTGCTGGAACCACTGGACGCGGAGGCTTGGTGGCCATGATGCCTCCAGGAAAACGGGCCCGGCGACTCCGTGTCCGTGAGCAGGCGTCAGAGACTCGCAGAAACTCGGCCTTTCCTCCAGCGGTGCAGGCCCTGCGCTGAAGCGCTGCTGTCAGCCTGGGGAACAGGGCGGTCCCCTCTTGGCCTCGGATGACCATGGTTGCCACAGAGTACTGCGCCCCAACAAGCTAACCGGCTGACCACCAGCCTGCCCAATCCAGGAGTTTAGACTTTGTGGCATTGGGAATGTGCCTTTGTCAGCAAAGTGGGGATGACACAGTTGGGCCCAGGTGTGACATCAGTCCTGCCTCACCTTCTGGACGTGTGCCCCTCTGCTCACACCCCTCCCCATTAGGGACTCGTAAAGCACTTCGGCTCAAGGAGCAGGCCTGCAGGAAGGAGCCTGTCCCCAGCCTGGCTTCCTCCAGCATCAGGGTTCCTTAAGACACCTGTAGGGAAGTGTGAGTGGCCCCAGGCATACAGTCCTGGGGCCAGCACCTGGCTCTGCCCCTTCCTTCCAGCGCTGTGGGTCCTGCCCACCTGTGCGCACCACTAACTCGGCTGTCTTCTCCTTTCTCGTCACCAGGGGTCGGGCCCAGGCTCGGCGGTCCCAGGCAGCTCCGGTGTTGGAACCCCCAGACAGTTCACACGACAAAGGATCACGCGGGTCAACCTCAGGGACCTCATATTTTGTTTAGAGAATGAGCGTGAGACAAGCCATTCACTGCTGCTCTACAAAGCATTCCTTAAGTAGCACAGGGCGGGCGCGGCATCGCGGATGGAGACGCCTGGGACGTTTTTATATATTTGCAGATTACGCCTTTTGTAACAAGCAAATGGGATATTGTTTAAAAAACAGCCACCTCTTTACAACGGAACAGTTTTTTATTCCTGTTTCTAAGTCAACTCTTCAGTATGGAAGAAAACACGTTTCTGTAACAGAGAACACAGAGGCCCGTGGGCACTCTGAACGGACAATTAACTCTTAACTCATCTTTGATTGAGTGGCCTTCTTGCCAAACAAGCCATATATAAAAACTGATGGAATCGTTTAGCAAATAATTAGCTGCCCTCTGTCACCTCGTAGCGGTTTCTACATTATTTGTGCATTTTGGTTTATTCAGCCCAACTTACTGCGTAGGTGTGTGTCTACAGCAATGACCTCATTTCATTTATTTTATTTTTGTATTAGTCAGTTGGCAAAGCAAACTGATTTTTTAGACTATTTATGTCCCCGTCCCCTCCCTCGCCAGAGTCCCCGAGGAGCACGGAGCTCATCGCGCGCTCGCCCGGAGCGTGGTCACCTTTCTGCTCAGGAGAGGCCGCGCAGCGGCTCCTTCCGGACGTGCGGTCGGCATCTGTACAGACGCGTTTTCTTTGCTGTAGTTTGTAAAGCTGTAAAGTTAAAAGAAATGAAAACCTTTTCAGCATAAATATATTTTACTTGCACTGTGTTTTTTAGCTAAAAGTGGAAACTTAGATGAAATAAAAATCAAAGTTGAGAATCATCATCAAAAGACTGTTTCTCAGTGTGAATCAAGTGTTGAAAAATGGTTGGTGTATTTTGTCAGTAATTGTACATAATTTTTGGCACATAACATGAAAATGGCTATGTAAACTATAATTATTTTGCTAAGAGACTGTAAGCAAGCTGTGGGCCAACTTTACAGATGTCCAGAGCAAAGCCCCTTCTTTGTACCTATTTTTTTATTACAAATATACTAATTGGTTCTTTATATTTTCAGAGGTTATTGTATTAAATTGTCTATTGATAGTACTTTTATGACTGTAAATACTTTGGCTTTTTCCGTGTGAATCCTCACGTCAGACTTTACTTCGCGCGAGTGTGAACCGAATGCTGATCAGTATTTTTATCAATACCTGAAAACTGTTACACCTTTTATTTTGTCTTTTAGGAAATCCCTGTCTTTCCATTTTTTCATGTAAATTTTGCACAGTTACTTGTTCATATGTAAATATTTTACTTTCAAAAATGAAGTTTTTAATTGCTATTGTTTTATATAGGATTGAAAGAAAATTAACTCCTTTATTAAAAACAAATTTATCTGTATCTGTTTTGCCTATTTTTCTCGGTTTTCCAGGTTTATATTCTGCTACCAGAGACTCAGCTCTGGTTCCCCTGAGGTGTTCATTTATGAGCTACTTGTTAGAATCAGTATCTAAACCCCAGCGACTCTAGTAGAAATCACCTCGCCTCCGAGGACAGGACCTCCGTGCTGCAGGGTAAGGCCCGGTGTGAGTGGCGTCTGAGGGCCCGAAGCTGAGCTTACTCCCTGCACGCTCGGGCCATCTGGACCACCCCACCTGCGTTCTGTTGCTGGGGCACTTGCCCACGCAGCTGGGGCACCCTGGGGAGAGGCAAGGTAAGGCCCCGGGTGGTCCGCGCACAGGCATGTGCCCTGGTGAGCCTGGCAGGGCGACGCGATGGCCCCAGCTCCGGGGTGGACCCACAGTGACGGAGACAGATGGGGTCCCCAGGTGGCCCCACCTCCTCCCTGCCGCCTTCTGTTGCGGGCTGGTCAGCACCCTGCCTCTCAAGTGCTGCAGGTAGCCAGTCGTTGGCGTGCTTGGGGTTGCTGTCCAATTTTCGCATGGATTTTAACTAGTTGGACGATAACCAGCAATATGTGGGCTTCCTTACAAGTTACACTGGAAAATACCGCTCTCATTAGGGAGACTTCCAGTATCTCCAGGGGCTCCCTGATACACCACAGACTGGGGGGCTTCAGCAGTAGAGGCCTGTGTCCCCATTCCGGAGGCCAGAAGTCTGCAGTCGGGGCTTGGCAGGGTCCGTGCCCTCTGAGACCATGAGGGGGTCTGTTCCGGGCCTTTCCCCCAGGCTGCTGGTGGCTGGCATCTTGGATGTTCCCTCCACGTTTTCATGGCGTTTTCTCTGTGCATGTCTGTCTTTGTGTCTGAATTTCTGAATTTCCCCTTGCGAGCGCCAGGACACTGGTCACACTGGAGTAGGGTGCCAGCAATGACCTCATTTTAACTTGACTTCCTTAAGGACCCTGTCTCCAAGTAAGGTCACATTCTGAGGTGCTGGGGGCTAGCACTGCACAGATCATTTTTTGGGGGTGGATCACACTCACTCACCCATAACACCTGTGATGGCGGGGGAATGGAGCCTCTGGAAGGAAGTGCTCGATGCACCATTTCGAGGCTCTCATCCACGTGAAAGGCCCGGGATAATTTAGTGATTAGGTCACACTTGTACTTTCTAACCACGACTACTTTGTTTTCACGAAGTTCTTGGCCTGAAATAAATCAGGCCAGTTGGTAGAGGACAGTTGTACTTGGATTTCTGTACATGTGGCTGATTTAATGTCAGTTTCTCTGCATGTCCTCCTGGGTCCTGTCGCTCCGCCAAGGACAGTCACAGCCAAGGCAAAGCCCCTGACACCAGCAGGAGACCCCGTGCGGCAGAAGCTTTGCCAGCAGACCTGAGACACAGGTTTGTCTGTTGTTTTCCCCTCGTGAGACTGTTAACAGCTGCTCAGTGTCACCCCACAACACCTTATTAGTGGTGTGACGTCAGGTTTGGGAACTTGGGTGGGCTTGGAGGTAGAGGGCAGGATGGTGTGGTCTGGGACGTCTGCTCTCTCCACTCCATTCCCCAGAGCACTGGGCTTCCAGTCGAACAAGAAGGCAAGAACAAGAAATAAGGCATGAAGTTTCATGAAGTTTGGGAAGGAAGAAGGCGAAGAAAGAAATCACAGAAATCGCGCCATTGTGCCCGGAAGGTCCGGAAGAATCCACACGGATGTTACTGAGGCAGAGATCTGAATTTCATGAAATTGTAGGGAACAGGTAGCCAGAATGAAATGTGATTCTGTATTCCGGCAACCAGCAGCCAGAAAGTGAAAATGGGTCATGAATGATAGGACGAAGAATGCTGGGGTACCTAGGAATACGTCCGAGGAGCGACATAGAAGACCCTCCCGCTGAAATTAGAGAAACGAGAGAAGGTCTGTGGGGAGCATGCTCCATGTTTGCCGAGTGGACTCGGATTGCTGTCCCGATTGATCCCGTGCCGCCCCACTCCCATCCCAGCAGGGCTTCGCTGACACTGACTGATCCCAGAGACTCTTCGGACAGCTCCGACGGTCTAGAGGAGACGTGGAGCATTCACACTCCCAGATTTCAAGACTTCCTGTAAGGCTGCGGTCATTGGGTCAGTGTGGCATTGGCATGAGGGCAGATGTGACCAGTGAACGCCAGAGTCCACAGGTGGATCTGGATGTTATGGCCACTAGACTTTAGACAAAGACACCAAAGCGGCGAAGGCGGGACAGCTGCTGGTGCAGCTGGGTGGCCTGTGGGCAGAGAGTGAGTGTTGCCCCCGTGTTCACACACACACAGATTAATTGGAGATGGATCATAGGCCTGAAAGTGGGAGCTGAGAGTCCAAAGCTTCTAGAAGAAAATGTCAGAGAAGATGTTCACGACCTTGGCGTGGGCAGGCACAAGCCATAAGGAGAAAAATGGCAAAGTGCACTTGGAACTTGCGCTTGACCGAAGATGCCCCGGGGAGGGTGGAAGGGAGGGCACGGACCGGGAGGGTGTGTGTGCGGTATATAAACCAGACAGAACCCGCATGGGAAGTATAGCAAGAAATCCCTCGATAAAGATGTATAAAAGACCGACAAGTGGTCAGTAAGCAAATGAGAAGGTTGCCTATCAGGACTGGTCATCAGAGAAATGGAAATTGAAACCGTGGTGTGAGTCTGCCACACGCCTGCCGTAGGGGCCCAGACGGAGAGGTATCAGAGGGCCCCCACGTGCCGCTGGCGGGGCAGTCCCGCCACTCTGGGGAGCTGTTGCCCTTTTAAGAAAGCGAAGCGTGTATCGACCCTGTGACCTTGCGGTTTCCACTTGCGTATCTCCTCGAGAGAAGCAATTGCCTTTGTCCACCAGAGACTGGACAGGAGTGTTCTCAGTGCCGCCCGTCCCCAGTGGACTGAAGTGGGAGCGGCCCTCCTGTCCGCCACGTGGGGGGCGGATACACACCTTAGTGTATTTGTCAATGGAATATGACCCGGGAATAAAAAGGGATAAGCTGCTGACCACTCAGTAGTGTCGATGATTCTCTAAAGAATCCTGAAGAGAGAAGCCAGACGCAGAAGACGCCACACCCCCTGGTTCCATACGTAGGAAGCTCACACGGGAGAACTCCCAGAGGTGATGGGAATCCGCATGGTTCACCCTGGTGGCTGGCGGGAGGGGCACCAGGACCCTTTGGGCTGATGGGAGTGTTCGGTCTCCATCTGGGTGGTGGTCACATGGGTGTGCAGGAGTGTAAACAGGCCGACAGGTAAGGTCTGTGCATTTCAGCATATATAAAACGTGTACTGCAAGGGGCGCCTGGGTGGCTCAGTCGGTTAAACGTCTGTCTTCGGCTCAGGTCATGATCCCAGGGTCCCGGGATCAAGCCCCGCATCGGGCTCCATGCTCAGCGGGGGGCCTGCTTCTCCCTCTCCTTCTGCCTGCCTGTCTGCCTACTTGTGATCTCTCTGTCAAAATAAAATCTTAAAAAATAAAAAAACAAAACAAAAACCTACCGCAATAAAACCTGGGGAAAGACTCCGGCTTCAGGCCTCCCTGGGTGGGAACGTCAGCTCCACCTACGCAGGTCGCCTGGCCCCACGTGATCTGGTGCCACATGAGAGGAGGTGTGTGGTGTCTCAGGATAGGGGGCAACTCATGATCTTCTTGTGATTATCCATGGTCATTGGTTAACTAGTTGAGTGTTAACTAGTTTTCCCTTCTATCAGACTGTGGTCTCCAAATGTAAGTTCTGACTTAAAAAAAAAAAAATAAAGATCTACCTAGCCTTCCTCCGTCCCCGCATCGGGGCCCAGCTTGCCCCAAGCCCGGCCCTGCCCAGTGTGAACAGCCAAGGCTGTAAAGCATCTGTTCTGGTCTCATGCTCTGTCCGAGCAGCTGTGGGGACCCGCCTGGAGCCTCGGGATCCTCTGTGTTGTGCGTGCTCTCACAGAGGAGGCCATGCAGTTAGACCACAGTCCGCAGGTAGCCTTTCCAGTGACGGGCTGCCAGTTCTTCCCCTCCTCTGGGCTGTTCTGGGCCACACCAGGGCCACGTGTGCCCAGGGAAGACCAGCCCAAGGGACTTACTCTTCTCCTTAAGAGACAAATCACGGCTGTTTTCCAAGAATCTAGGCTGCTTCCTCAGGCTTTGTCCTAACTGCCAGAATTTCTGTATTTTTGAGGAGAATGGGCATGCCCTGATCTTTTTTCCTAAAATGTATTTATTCAGCAAGTGTGAACGAGTGCCTCTCACATGCAGGGTGCCTTCCCAGGGGCTGGCAGGTGTGGCCAAGGCACAGTCCCCGGAGGAGGCCAGACCGGGCTCGGGCTGGGAGCAGTGGCCCGGGTGGAGTGCACCTGGAAGAACTGGGCTGTCTCCTCCAGGTGCGTAGAGAGAGGAAGGTGGGAGCAGCTTTGTGCTTGCTTCTTTGGAAATCAGGATCACAGTGAGAGACCAGCACACACCGCTAGCTCGGGCATATCTGGAGCCCTTTGGGGCTGGAGGCCATGCAGCCCGGGCCAGTTTCTGGAGAAGTGTGGCGTGCGTCAGCCTGTCCACCGCTTGCCCATCCGTGCGCTCCTGGACACTTCTCTCCCAGAGTCTTCCAGATTCGTCCCCACAAAGATGTGTACAGTCATGTTCATAGCAGCTTTATTTGAAATGGCTAAGATCTGGAAGAGCCCTAGCTGTCCGAGTACAGGTGAA